CATGGATTTAAGAGTTTCTTCTAAACTGAGGTCTATCAATTGCCTGACCATTTGAGTTATTTCCAAATACTAAGTAATAGAAGAGGAGAAACAGAAAAATAGTTATGTTGCCTTCGTGCCTTCATTATACTCATCTTCTACAAACAAGACCGAAGGTCACAATACTAACAATTATTAAACTATTCCTGATGTATTGTTTTCTATACATCATAGAAAATTGATCTTTTTGAAATTCAAGATTATCGTTTCTTTTTTGTAAAGAACAAATAGGAACATCTGACTTTCGTATTCTTGAGAGAACATGGTTAGCTTCTCCCAGCAACACTGTTCTTAAGGTAGAAATAGTAAACTTCCCATTTAACTGACAGATACCACAAGTTTTTGCTATGTAGCACAAAGAAGATGCAGTGTGTCTGAAGATAGAAAAGAATACAAAATACAGATTTATTTTTAAATTCAAATTCTATTTAAATATTTTAATAAAAGCAATAATCTCAGAATTTTTAGTCATAAGTGAGGTAAAGACAATACTTATTGGGAGTATTGAGCATTTTATCATTTTTCCGTGCATATACCAGTTGCTCTGGGGAGGAAAGAAAAGGCAGAATAAATCACCTCAAGATTATTAAAAGTAAATAGCATTATGTACAAAGTATTTTGTTAGTCTATATAACATATTTGTAAAGTCCTCATATTCTCTTCTTTGAGAAAATATTAATTCTTGTGTTAGTCACTTTCTTCTTTCTTGCACACAGTACCCAATACCTGCAATTTAAAGGACAAAAGGTTTATTTTGTCTCACAGTTTGCAGAGGTTATCAGTCAACAATCAGCTGACTCCAAAGCATAGCAGCAAGACAGAGTGACATGGTAGGGGAAAAAGCTGCTGGTGGCATGGCAGCCAGGAAGCACAGAGTCAAGGGCAGAGCCAGACAAGGAACTACCATCTTCAAGGTTTCACCCAGTGACCTGCCTCTTCCCATCAGGTTACACCTCCTAATAGGACTACTCCATCAGGAGGTATAGCCTCCCTATTTTCTAGTCACCTCCCCAAAGACCCACCTACGAGTACATAATACTCTTGGGGGATGCTTAGACAGAAACCGTAAGAATTCTCACCAGAAATTTACATAGTTTTTTTTTACAAGTGGCATTCTTCTTTCAACCAGTTTCTCATCTTGCCATCTCATACTATCCTGGTACGCCATGATATAATACAGGGTGGGACTGAACTACATGGTAAACATTTAATTTAAAAAAATATATATTTAAGGTAAAAGACAAATTACCCTCATAATGCTTCCCCTTATTTCAAAGGCACATCCTGTTTTTCTTGCCACTTTCTGAAGCAGTTCTTTTTGTGAATGTCTTTATACAGTGAACAAACATACAGTGAATACCACTGTTGAGTAACATCCAATGGAAATGGAGGCTCATAAGAACATTATGATATGTCCTCATTCACCCCATTCAGCAATCTGGCATCATATGACTATTGGCTTATTGTCAAAGTCAAAATAACTGTTGAGAGGTAAACATTTTGAATCCATTCAGGACAGTGAGAAAGCCATAACATCATAAATAAAGACATTCAAGAAAGAGGCTTGAAGAGCTGCTTCAGAAAGTGTCAAGAATGAAGGAAAGTATGTTTAAAGCAGAGAGTGGCATGAGTATTCTGAGGTAGATCAATAGCAATGTTTATTTTATTGTAATACATTTGTTTTCAATGTAAATATACATTCTACTTCTCTATCACATTTCCTATAATGGTTGTGTCAAGAAAGACACAAAGATAAAAAAACCCATCAATCAAAAAAGTTGATTTTCATATAGGCCAGTGGTGTCAAGCTCTTTACACTCCTTCTGTTGTGACTTGCGTAGAGCAAAACATTTGAGCTGAATTGTTTTGACAACTGGTATGATCAATGCCAATAAGTGTGTTGCTACCTTTTAATTAGTCTACATACCGCTGCTTAGATGATTTTATATATGAGGCAACTCATCGCCTGATATTCATGTGTTTTAGTTGTTATGATGATACATTCTGAAATATTTTGCTTTTCCTGTCTAGCCTGCTCAGTATAATTTATTACATATATCTCACAGAAACAGAGAGGCCATAGGTTTTTAATAAACTCTAGATATTAGTGATGATTAGGATATTCACAACATGGTTTATTATTGGGAAAGAAAAAGTGAGCATGATATAATATGACCTAGTTTTGCAATTTGGCTCTCCATTTATAGACTTTACACAAAAGACTCTTTTTTATTACCCTCAGATTTATGACACATCAAGGAGATTATTATCTTCATTTTACATTATGGGGTTGTCTTACAATTCAAATAAGATAATTTACAACAAATATTTGTGAATTATTAAGTACTCTATAGAGGCATAATATAACAATTATACATTCTTAGCAGACTTAAATATCAAGCCCTGGCTAATGCTTCATGTATAGTACATAATATTTCAGTGCCACACACAATGGACAGTGCCAGTAGCCTAGTGAAAAATTAAATACTCAAGTCGGTTGTTATTCCTCTCGCTTTAAAAAACAGACACTGTTAATAGTCTTTAGGTCACATAAATCCAATGACTATTCTTCTAACACATACTTATACATGATTTCATCATTATTGCTAAAGAATAGTAATTCTGAATTTTAATTTATACTGAATCATTGTCCTTCTGTGCTCTTTGTTTTCACAGATCCTTACATAATTTAAGGTTGGTGCCATATCTTTGCAGTATTTCCATTTGTGTCCCTTTGTATGATACACTGATGTTTGCCAAAATCAGTAAAAACGTCACTGCCTAGACCAGAAAAAAAGCAAAATGAACACAGAGTAGTATTTTTTCACACACAGTATCAACAATTAACCAATGAAATCAGGTAAATAAAGCAAAGCTTGGAGATTTAGAATCTCTTTGATATTCAGGATATTAAGGTTTCCTTTAAAGTGGACAACAGGAGCAGTCAATAGGCCTGCTATCATGTTTGTAAAAGCAACATTATGCGAAGCACTTCTCATTTCATTGCCAGTTTGGAAACAATCCCATCTTTGCAGACTACATTATCATGTCCTGTTCTTTAGTAAGAACACTATTAATTGCCTGGCTATTTGAACAAATGCTTTGCTGATGGGACTTTTGAAGTAAGCAACTAATGATCCCATCGCTAGTTAATAATCAGTCTGGAAAGAAAAGGAAACAAGAAAGAACATGAGTTGCTTGTCTCAGTGTAGATCTCTTGTCCATAAGAGTATGAGAGTATCAGAAAAATTAGAACATAGTTATAATCTTCTTGAAGTGTTTAGGACTCAGAACCAAGATACAGTGATATACCCTCGAAGGTTCCAGTGAGAGCTGACTTTAGGGCAAGGAATTGCATGGATTACTTCCAGAAACTTGCCTAGATTTAAATTTTTTTAATTTTGTTTTTTATTCATATTTGCATTTATTTTGAAAATTTAAAAAGAAATGGTGATGACTTAGAAATAACCAGAATTTCTAAGGAAAATCAATTTTCAGGAGAGGCTTTGGAGAAAACAGAGCCAAAGTTGATTTGACAAGGAGCAGTAAAGTATTTTCCATGATTGATCCATTATCTTGGATCTGCCAACAAAGACCCATACGAAGTTGGGACAAACAAATTGCAACCTAAGGAGGAACTCATAAGTTACTTTTTCAACCTAGTCCCAGCCCTGCTGCCTACAGAAGCATCTGATTAAATCATTTCATTTGACCACTAAAAGCACTATTCAAGATACATTTATTCAATAACAACAACAAGCCAACACCACAGGTATGTTCCATTATACTTTAGAGTTCTCAAAATACATGTTTCATTAAATTATGTCAGTGAAAATTCGTAGCGATAGAGGTTCAAAAGGCATTAGTACCATTTTATAGATGAACAAGTAAGTTCATCTTATGGAGAGGCTCTGTGATTTGCTGGAGATAGGAGAAGTAGAATTAGAACTCAGGGCTTCTGACTGTGAGTCCAGAACTTCTTTATCTTACCACACCATATATAAGTCTTTCTCTGAAGACTTTTCTAGCATTCCTTATATTTACTGTTTAAATATTTATTTATTTGCATTACTGGGGATTGAAGCCAGGGCTGTGCCCCAAGCTATATCTCCAGCCCTTTTTATCTGGCGACAGGCATGCTCAGGTTGAACTTGAACTTACAATTCTCCTGTGTCACCCTGTCAAGAGTGCACCACTGTGTATCACTGTGACTTGTTTACATCATTGTGATCTACATTTATTAGAATTATATGAAATTACTGTGGTTCTGGGAAATTGTAATAATAAAACTATCTTAAATTTACATATTGTTTACTGCCCATAAATAGTCCAATGAAAAAGCAAAAAATTAGCACAAATAATTCATCTAATGAATATTAATAGTAGGCTTTAACATTTTGTGCTTTGATTTTGTGACTTGAGAAACTACTTCTAACATAACAATATGTAATTTATCAACTAGTGATTTCTTATTGTTTTTTTGAAATTCTGTATTATTTATACTCTTTTTTCTGTTTTGCTTTTTTTGTCTAAATAAAAAAAGGAAAACCAAAACTATTTATATATCAACCCCAAAGATAAATATTTTTACCATTGTCATTAGTTTCATGGAATCATTTTGTTTCTGTTACTTTTAACAACATGTTTAAACTATCTGAATCATATGAGTAACTTACTAAGACTTGTTTTTCAAAACACTCTGGAATTTGGGCAGTCCTATACTTTCTCCCTACACTGCAAAATCACCACACAACAAAGCAGGAAAAAAAAAAGGCTTAGCAAGCAACATATGGTATGTGGTCTTCCATCACCCAGCCTCACATCACACAAGAACTTTCTAGCACTAACAGGAAATAAATTAGTTATCCACAAACATACTTTGAGTTGCAAATTTTATTTCCTGGCTCTAGTGGGTTAATATAGAGAGCCTAAATTATTTAGAAAGGAAGAGAGAAACTTACCCCTCCCCATGTTTTCTCGTGGCCTCTGGCAGGTCCTAGATGATGATCCTCTGCACAAAAGAGAGCACACACACAGTGAGATTCATGGAGGCTGAGTCACTACATCAGATAAACTCCATTACAGCTGATGCGGTCAATGTGAGCATTTTGTTTCTGCACATTCCAATCTTCCTCCTTTATACAAAAATGTTTTCTCTGTCTCAGATGTTTAATCTCAGAGGACAGAAACATAGTACTCTGGAAATTCTGGGCTCTAAATCAACTTATTATGACTTTTTCAAATCTGATATATTTTCTAAACTTGAAAAATAAAAATCATTAAATTGGTCACATCATCTCTTATAAAGTTAGTGATATCAACAAAAAATGGTGGACAAAAATGCCGAAAAAGGAAAGAAAAAACCCAGTGTTAATAACGGTGCTAGCATGTTATTAGCTTGCCTGCCCATGGCCCTTTGATATCATTCTATGACAAATCCAATATGTTTTATAGTGTAACATTTTCCTGAATGGTGTCAAACAGCAGCAACCCTAATCAAATTATCCCTGAGGCAAAACAGCCAACAGTATTATTCCCAATAAACAGAATGAATCAATGTCCATGAAGTACTGACAGAAGAAAACTCTGGAGAAACAAAAATCACATTTTGCAATTGTAGAGAGAGCAGCGCATAGGGGAGGATTTTTTTTTCTTTTGCAAAACCTGAAACATAGATAGATAGATAGATAGATAGATAGATAGATAGATAGATAGATAGATTATAATGTTTCATTTTCTTTCAAGTCTCTGTCAGAGAGCTGCCATATGTCTCCTATTCACATGTTATGTTCCCAGTATGGAGCTAAGAACCTAAATCTGCGTGATACTGTAAAAATCCATTACGGATGAATGGATAAAGAAAATGTGGTATTTATACGTAATGAAATACTGCTTTACTACAAAGAAGGATAAATTTGAGGCATTTTCAGGAAAATGAATGCACATTACGACCATGGTATAAAGTGGAGTAAACAAGATACACAAACTTAAATACTGTATAAAATGTTTAATATGAGAAAGCAAAAGTATAACTAATTTAAAAAAAGACAGTAACAAACAGGGAGATAGATCTTTTACAAATGGGATAGAAACCAGTGATGGGAGGAGAGAGGAGGGAAAAGAGTCAGATAATAAAAAGAATTAAGACACATTAAGTATATTTACCTGGTGCCTATGATGAATGCAAATATAATGTACTATAAACATGTACTAATAAAAGTTTAAAAAAGAAAATAAAAGTAATGTATAACCAAGTTGAAGTTAAGCTGGAACAATCAAGGAATAAATATCAGTCTTAAACCTAGTAAGTAGTTCTATGACACTGTGTAAATCGTTTTGTATTTCAAAATTTTTTGCAAAAGGAGGGGAATAAACTATATGTGTATTTCCAAAAGCTATACTGCGTAGGATGTTAAAAGTGCATTATTTAAAAATAAGCCACTTTGATCAGATAAAAGCAGAAAATGCTGACTTAAGATTGCATACATGTAAGACGTTTTAAGACCTAGAATATCAAAAGCAACTCTGGGCAACAAAAGCAAGTCAGGGGACATCACAATTCCAGATCTGAAATTATAGTACAAAGCTCCTGTGATAAAATAAATAAATAATTAACAAAGAACAGGCCTGAGATCAGTGGAACAAAACAGAAGATGAAGAAGAAACTCCAAACACATATAGCTACCTTATCTTTGGAAAAGATGCCAAATATGTTCACTGTAAGAAAGATAGTCTCTTTAATAAATGGCACTGGAAAAACTGGCTCTTCATATGCCAAAGACTAAAACTAGATTCATGTCTACTACCATGCACAAAACTAAAATCAAAATGTATCAAAGACCTAAATATTAAAACAATCACTAAATCTACTAGAAAATAAAGTACGTAGAACTCTTAAAGACATAGGAGTAGATAGAGTTCGTGAACAAAATTCAAACAGCACAAGAATACTCTAAAAATGAACGATTGGGATCTCATCAATATTTTTGTACATCAAAAGAAATAATCAACAGAATGAGAAGAAAACCCAGAGTGGCAAGAACTTTTAGCTAACTGTCCTTCAGACAAAAATCTTTTATCTAGAACATATAAAGAACTGAAAAAAAATTGGACTCCCCAAATTTAAAGACCCAATCCAAAAATGGGCATCTGCAATGGATACATACTACTCAGATGAAGAAATACAAATGGCAAATAAATATATGAAAACATGTTCAATGTCATTGATTATTTGAGAAGTGTAAATTCAAATCACACTGAGATTCCATCTCACCCAAGAAAGAATGACAATCAACATGTCACAGAATTCCTTTTCTTTTAGAGCTCATTTTGGGATACTTGGCAAAGTAATTACAAAAGTCTCTTGCAACTTAGAAATGCTATTCTTTTTCAGGTAGCTATTAATTATAAGAAAGAAAATTAACATGAAGTTAATTAAGGAAGAGTGGGGCCAGAGTCCCAGTGAATGTTGGAGGTGACAGGAACTTTAGAAATTATCACTCTATCTTTTTTGAAAGCAGCAGGTAACCTTCAAAATATCTTTACACAGGACACTGACGTATGAGTTGGTGTGTAACACTTCAGATTGAATTGTGTAGACCGGCTGCAGAATCCTGCTAGTATTTCTACTTGAGGCAGCTTAATATACAGTCATCATAAAACCCAACAGTAATAGGAACCACTTAAAGTTATGGAAGGCTTTAGGACAGAGTTAGAACTTTTCCACATTCACAGAAATGACCTTCACTCTTTCCAAATAGTACAATGTTAGCTTTACTGTAAACTCTTCCCAAACAGATAAATAAAATAACTGTTATGTAAGCATAATTATAAAAGCTTTTTCATTCCAATAAAAAACAAAAAGTCAACATCCTAAAGTGTAGTCCATGTACGAATAAAAAGTCACAAATGAAAAAAAGAAGTGATATGGTTAAATTTGGATTTTAAGAAGATATTTCTGGCAACAGAAAGAAATGAAGATTTGAGAAATGAGAGTGGCTTGATTGGTAATGATGATATCAGAGATACTATATAAATCTGGCAGGACTTCATGTATTTTTATGGCTTGTTTATTCCTTAATATTTAATGCTGTCAGTTTGAAAAGAATCAAGCTTATTTCAGTTGTGCTAGGGGAAACCACAAAAGAAAGGACTATCAGGCATCTGCCAAGATGTTCAAAGAAGAATTGCCTCTCTGGAGGTCAGCACGATGGGGACAAAAGACGTCACTGGAGGTATCCATCTTTCAGGAAAAGATGAAATCAAGGAGGTAAAAGTCAACACTACCAATCATCTCATCTATGCTTGGAATAGAAAATCTCCAAAGATCGGAATCTTGTTTTAAAGAAAGCAATTTCCTTTAAGAAATATAGGATTCCTGGCCTACTGCCTCAGATTACCTATTGCTTCTGATTCTAGGGTAGGTTTAGCTTGTGCTTTCCACTCTGATCTCCGGCTGCTCTAGTCGATTTGCTTCTTCTAGCTGCTGCTGCTGCTATTGTGTGTGTGTGTGTGTGTGTGTGTGTGTGTGTGTGTGTGGTGTGATGTGGCACTTTAGTTTTTATACTTTCACAAGTATTATTCATCAATCACTATTTTCCATCAGGTCACCATCCCAAATATACTGCAAACATGTACCAATAAAAAATAAACAAAGCGAGGGCAACAGGCTTACTTTAAAACAACAAATCAGCTGTTAGCCACTCTTTAAGACATGAAAGTAAAATAATCACTGTTTCATGAATTTTCCCAAATATAGCATTAACTACCTTCTACAACCTGGTTCTGCCTTTTAAACGGTTATGCTATATCCCACCCAAACTAGCCACTACTCATCCCTTAAATGTTTTGAACTTTTCCAACTGTCTCTACTGATTTTTCTCAGCATTATCCACTCTTACAAAAATTGCATTCATTTTTCATTATCAGTAGTAAAGCCTTACCTCATTACTTGAGGAGAAAGTAATCTCTTTTTCCTTTGAAGTCTAATAAGGAGTTGACGTTCTATCCTATATAGATGTGTGCATACTTTATAACATATGTTAGATTGTCTAATTCTAGAAGCATGAGTAGAAATACCTAGTTTGTAGAAGGTACTAGTGACCGTTTTGGTGGCATACCTAAACAGATATACGGGAAAGTCTCATGACACACACATTCAGGAAATATCATGTTGCCTGAACTTCCCTTAATATAGATTAGTGCTTCAAACTCCAGTTCTTTATTCAATTTTATGATTTTTGCAACACGCATTTATTACCAACATTAATTTAATGTTTCTTCAGTAAAGCTACTTTTTTACTTCAATATTCCCTTTAACTTTGTTCTAAAAGTAATATGTTAAACCATGGGTTTGATGTGTTGTGTATGTTTCTAATGCCTATGCAGTTAATATTCCACAAATTTTTCCTGGCACACCATAAACATGCATTACATTTTATAGAACACTGTTCATTCCTGCTTTAGTTAATCCAAAAATATTTGGTGCATGTCTTGTGTATTTGTCTGGTCCTGTTCTATTCTTTAAAGCATTAGTGCTCAAGTAGGATTCATTTTCTTGAGGGAACATTTGGCAATATTAGAAATATTTTTGTTTGTTACAACTGGGTAAGTATGCTCCTAGCTAAGGATACTGCTAAATATCCTACAGTGAACAGGAAAGCTTTCTACCACAGAAATTATTCCAAAATATTAATAATACCAAGTTTGAGAAACTCCAATTTAGAGAAACAGTGGCGAACATGAGAAGACAAATTCTCTGCTTATAATCCAGTGACAGAATGCTACAGATAATACTTTCAGTACATTTAAGTAGAAGTCAACAGTCCACAGTTCTTAGCTTTTTTTTTCTCTCTGTACATTTCTTGTAAGGGATGTCATGCTGGCACAGAGAGGATTTATATTGCTGTGACCTTTTTGTAAAATTGTGAGGTACACTCTACTCATTTTTTAAGGCTCTCACAATTTAGAAATGCCATTCTAAATGCAATGTTCAGTATAATAATTAACTAT